AAAGTTATAAACCAATACTCAACTTCATTGACATACCAGGAACTAACACACATTCCTAACCAAATCAACTAGTCAAGCACTATATTCACAAGTAGTTGGGCAAAATTGACTCATGGTAAGACATCCAAGCAATCAAACATCAAATCATGGCTAACCTATCCACAATACTCGTCATCATATACCAAGAATTAAAACAATTTTCATGAATGGGGCACAGGGAAGCATGATTTATTATTCATTGGATCGTATTTTTGTATTTTTTTTTTTCTTTTTCAAAGCAATAAAATCTAACCTAGAAAGCAATAAAATCTAGACTATGAAAGAAATAAAACTAAACTGAATACGTCAAAAAACAAAAAGAGAGAGAAAAGAAAGATACCTTAATCCAAAAATCTCCCCCAAGCCAAAATCAGACAATGTCCTCATTGTCTTAAAGGGAAGCTAGTAGTCAAGGCGACTACTACTTATCATCATCACCACAACAATGTCACCAAAGCCTCGAGGATTTCAATGCATCTCTTTGGAACAAATTTGGGCAAGAATGAAACAAAGTGTTAGTGGGAAAAATATAAAAATTGAGTTATGCGTACTATTCTGATCATAACTTTTTTTGTATAAATTATAATGCAGTGATTCTAATTGTGTTGGAAAGTAGACTTGAAGAGCTTTCCAACGATAGGTCACACGCAAAAATCCGATAAGAAACGTAAAAGTTACGGCCTGTTGAACTTGAGCAGTTTTGCTGATCCGTACGCGCGCCCGATCGGGCGAGCTCTGCCCGAGCGAACCCGAGTACAATCCAGCTTTCTTCTCCTTTAAAATCGAAACCTTTCTAGATCAAAACCTACACATATAGAAACTCCCACAAGAATAAAATATCCTCTCCTTACCTCTCTAAAATAAAACAAACGAAAACACAAAAATTAGAAAAGACTAAAATAAAAATAATGAAATACGGGTTGCCTCCCGTAAAGCGCTAGTTTATCAAGGTCTTAAGCTTGACTATTCTCCTTCCATCAGAAGAACTTAACGCCTTGAGTAACTTATCATACGCTCCTGCAAACATTTCATTAAGCACTATATAGGGCTCAATTGCAAGCACAGTAATCCTTACATAGAAAAGATTAGGAGCACACAAAGAAAACTCAAGGTAAAAAGAAAAATCAAAAGAAAAAGATGAAGATACACCACAACCTTCTGCTTCCTCCGCTAAAAATTTAGAATTAATAGAACGAACATGGAGGTAGTCTTGTTCTGTATCATCACCCAATAACGACTCTATTATTTTACGCTCACGAATAAGTTCATTACCAAAGGAAAAAGAATTTTCAACCATTGGTTCTACAACCAATGACTTTTCAACCAATGGTTCTACAACTAATGATTCTTCTTCTATTGGAACCAATGATACCTCAACCACTGATTCTATAACCAATGACTCTTTAACCATCGGTTTTTCAACAAATGATTCTTCCTCCGACGTATTATACAAATTATGATAATATTCATCATGAATCCTCCAATAAATTTCATTTAGAACAAACTGTTTTTCAGAATAATCATATACGAATGGAAAGATTCTAAAATCATCCGGAGCTCGAACAAAATACTCACTATAAGGGCAATCAGGGTTTTCATGATAAAGATAATAACAAGAACAATGGCCAGATGCAAGACGTGACAATAAATCATCCATCTCCAAGGCATGTATATCATCAACTCATAAGATAAAAAGAAGTTAATAATAGCCAAAGCAACAAACCAAAAGCTTAGCAAAAAAAACGAATCACAAATAATTAGATGAAAACCGTTAGTCCCCGGCAACGGCGCCAAAATTTGATAGGCTTATCGCGTACCTAACAAAAATAACCTAACTATTCCTTCTAACTGTGTAGTAGGGCAAGTAAGGATCGAATCCCAAGAGACTATGGTTCATTCAATTAATCAGACTCAATTAATCACTAAGCACGTGACCAATCAATAATGGATGATAATAATCAACTAATTTATTAAATAACACAATTAACTAGAGGAAATATTAATCAATAAACTAAAGCATCCAAGATCAAGCATCACCACGATTATGATTGATAAACTAATAAATCTACCCCCAATATATAAATCAATTGACAAGAAGAAAAGCAATCCCTAATAATAATACCAAAGGTCTCTTCCGAGTTATCAATGGCTTCCCAAATTAACTATCAAGCCTACTTCCGTGGAATCAAGCGAATAAGGGACATTAAACACCATGCCTAGATTCCTAATTATTCAATCATCTACTTCCGTGATGATCTTCAAACCCTTAATTGAAATAACCTAATCCCGTTAATACCCAACTTCCGTTGCAATAAGAACAAAGGGATGATAACAATACTAATTATCCCTAATCTAGTATTGGCATAAACACAATCAATTAAGCATGTCAATTGGGATTATTATTGGGGAATTTAAAGATCTACTTTATACATCAATCATAATCGGGCTTAGCAAGATCCCGGATTAAGGAAACTACTCACAAATCATAATTAAATCAAAAACAAGATCTAATAGAGAACACATAATTAAAGAACTATAAAATAAATAAAAGAGATGGAAAGTAAGAAATACCAAATACTTCAATTGATGATCTTGAATTCTTGAGGAACAATTAATAAAACTAGGATTAAAGATTGAAATTGCTTAAGAAAATAAAACTAGGGTTCTTGAGAGTTTTCTAGGGCTTAAGGAGAAAACTAATGAAAAACTAACTGTCTAAAAGTTAATTACAAAAGGGTATTTATACCCCCAAAAGATAATATTTCGGAAAAATAAGAAAATACGCGTTCTTGAGCTTTGCCCGGTCTGACCGGGCGGACCTCGCCCGATCGGGCGGAGGAAGGCTGCGTAAAATACGACAGTTTTCCTTCTTTGCCCGGTCTGACCGGGCGAACCTCGCCCGGTCGGGCGCGCGTAACACGTTTCCAAAATTGCATCTCATAACTTGATTTCTTCATCGCCCGGTCTGACCGGGCGAAGCCTGACCGATCGGGCGCGCGTTGCACCGTTCAGAATTGGGCTTCTTCCTGTGAACTCCTCATTGCCCGGTCTGCCCGGGCAAGCCATGCCCGGTCGGGCATTCCACATAAATTGCAGTTCTTGGCTATCAACTCTTCCGAATCTACTAAAAACACGTCCAATTGCCTAGAAACGCTTCATATTCCTGAAAAGCTTACTAAAACAATCGAATACACTAAAGAAGAGATTGTTAGCAAGAAATAGCTCCGTAGAGCTCAAAACCATGTAAAATCATGCAATCAAACCGGGGAAAACCATTGTATAAAACACGTATATCAGGGTCCCGTCTGGAGCTGTATGAGTTTCAACTTCAAATTCACTTTCGGTATCATGGTCCGACTGAACTTGAGGGTCGTCTAGGGGACGCCTCTCTTCTGGAGTCGGTACAGACTTGGATGCCATCTCTGAAGTACTCTCCCCACAGACGGCGCCAAATGTTTCGGGGTTTTCTGATGTCCTGCGGGAGAGTTACAATTCCGAGACTGGAACCGGACGCCTGTACCTGCAAAATAACGGAGACTCCTGAGAGCTCCGCCTCCAACGGTCAAGTTAGTACCTGATTAAGGAGTAATTAATACGGAAATTAAAGTAATAAGATCTCTCTAGGTGAGAGTGCTTAGTGTTGGTAATCTACGTCGTTAGCGAGATTAGCCGGTTGTTGGTGTTCCGTAATATCTCTGTTCTTCTCTGCTTGATTTCTTGATTCCTTAACTAATGAGGATTAATTAAGTATTTATAGCCTTGAGAAGCGTGCCACTCTCTAGGTTTAAGGTAAACCTAGGGCTGACCGGGCCTCTAGACTGGATTGGGCCTTGATGGCCGGTTTTCCCATTTGGCATGGGTGGACACGTGGCGTGCCTCGATTGGTCCGTAGAGGACGTATCTGTGACTGACACGTGGCAGGCTCCTATTGGCCTTCGTGAAGGACCCGTGGCGGAACCTGGTTGGTCCACTTGTCAGACGGTGATTGGTGGATAAAAATCCCCTAATCAAATGGCACCTAGAGAATGTGCGTCGATTTCACAGACCTAAACAGAGCTTGTCCAAAGGACTTTTATCCCTTTCCGAGGATCTATCAATTAGTCGACTCGACGAGTGACCATGCTTTGCTTAGTTTCATGGACGCATTTTTTGGGTACCATCAGATCTTCATGCACCCCAATGACCGGGCAAAAACAGCATTCGTCACAAGTTTCGGGGTGTACAATTACAAAATGATTCCCTTCGGATTGAAAAATGCGGAGGCAACATAGCAGAGGTTGGTTGATCAGATCTTCGCCGAGAAAAAAGCCCGAAACATGGAAGTTTATGTTGATGAATCCATCGTCAAGAGAAAAAAAGCAGAAGACCATGTTGCGGACGTGGCCGAAACCTTCGCCACTCTTCACAAACATCGAATGAAGCCGAATCCGAAGAAGTGTGTCTTCGGCGTGAAGTCAGGCAAGTTCATCGGCTTCATGGTCAGCAAAAGAGGGATTAATGCCAATCCCGCCAAAGTACAATCAGCTCTTGATCTTCCCGAGCCGAAAACAAAGAGGGATGTTCAACGTCTCACTGGCAGAATGGCTGCCCTTTCCAGGTTCATCTCTAGAGCCTCAGACAAGGGATTGCCTTTCTTCAAAACGCTCAAACTCCTAAAATCAAAAGAGCTCATCTGGGAATACGAGTAAAAGAAAGCCTTTCAACAACTCCGTGAGCACTTGGCTTACCTCCCAACACTGGCAAGCCCAGCTGAGGGAGAAACTCTGTACTTATACGTGGTAGTGAGTCCAGCCACTATCAGCGCTGTGTTGCTAAGGGAAAAAGAGAAAATTCAGCAGCCGATCTATTTTGTCAGCCATACTCTGACAGATGCTGAGACACGCTACCCCTTACTCGAAAAGGTTGCTTAGGCAGTAGTGGTAGCAGCTCGGAAGTTAAGACCCCACTTTGATTCTCATCAGATAGTGGTCCTAACTGATCAGCCGTTGGAAAAAGTCCTTGGCAAGGTGGAAAATTCTGGTAAACTAACGAAGTGGGCTTTCGAGCTTACCGAGTTCGGTATCAGCTATCAGCCGAGGGCAGCTATCAAGGCACAGGCCTTAGCAGATTTCTTAGCCGAGTGTTTTTATCAAGAGAAACGTGACAAAGAAAAGAAGATCTGGACTGTTTTCACGGATGGATCCTCCACCGTAAATGGTTTGGGGGCAGGGGTAGTCATTACCTCTCCCGAAGGCAAATCCTTTGAGTATGCACTAAAATTCTCATTCAAGGCTTCAAACAACAAAGCTGAATATGAAGCAGCAATTGCTAGTCTAGAGTTGTGCATAGCATTGGAAGCCAAACATGTCTGTCTGAAGACAGACTCTCAGCTTGTCGCTAATCAGATCCGAGGAGAATATGAGGCCAAAGAGCCCTCAATGGTTTCTTACCTTGCAAAGATCAAGACTGTAATTGCGAAGCTGAGAACTTTTGAAGTAGAGCTGATCCCAAGAGGTCAGAATGCTCAAGTCGACGCACTCTCTAAACTTACAAGTTCATCTCTAACCGAGCTGAACCGATCTGTTTATGTGGAGGTGCGCCGAGAAAGAAGTGTTGACCAAGAACCTGAGATTTGTTGCGTCGCACATGAGCCAAGCTGGATGAATCTCATCCTTGCTTATAAACTTTGGGGAGAACTTCCCGAAGACAAGAAATTAGCCTCTAAGATGAAAAGAATCGGTTCAAGGTTCATCATCTTCAAAGGGGAACTCCTGAAGAAATCATTCTCAGCCCCGCTATTGAAATGTGTGGGTCCAACAGATGCAAATTACATCCTTCGTGAAATTCATTTCGGCATCTGCGGGAACCACATAGGGGGAAGAACCTTAGCCCATAAAGCACTAAGGGCAGTATTCTATTGGCCAACATTGGTTCAAGATGCTAAGGAGCTGGTCAAAAGGTGTGAAAAATGCTAAAAATTTGCACCAATCATCCGTTAGCCATCCCGAGATCTTCAGCCAATCCTGAATCCACTTCCATTTGCTCAATGGATATTGGACATTTTAGGACCCTTTCCTGATGCTCCATATCAAAAAAGATGGCTGATAGTTGGCATAGACTATTTCAGTAAATGGATCGAAGCCGAAGCAGATTCGAACATTACAGAGCAAATAGTCAGAAAGTTCATCTGCCAAAACATTATCACTCGCTTCGGAATTCCGAAGGTTTTTGTCTTTGATCATGGGAGGCAATTTGTGAACTTGCCGCTAAAGCGGTACACAGATCAGTTTGGCATCATATTGACATATTCTGCAGTTTGTCATCCCCAAAGTAATGGTCAAGCCGAGGCTTCAAATAAACAGATCCTTAACACTCTCAAGAAGAGGGTTGAAGATCAAAATTCCAAGTGGATAGAGGAACTCCCAGGAACTATCTGGTCACTTCGGACAACAGAAAAAGAGGCAACGGGGCATTCACCTTTTGAATTGGTGTATAGATCTGAAGCCGTCCTTCCAGTGGAAATTGGCTCAGAAAGTCTCCGAGTAAATCTCTTCTCAGCCGGAAAATGAGCAACTCATGAAAGAATCACTCGACTTCGTTGATGAGATCAGAGACTCGGCTCGAGACAAAATGGCTGCATACAATTAGAGAATCGGCAAATTTTACAATCAAAGAGTCCATGCAAGACTTCTCAAAATTGGGGATCTTATTCTTCGGAATGCCGCTGCTATACAAAAAGGCCGCATTCATGGGAAACTCTCAGCTACTTGGGAGGAACCTTATGAAATATATGATGGGCTTCAACCAGGAACATACCAACTTTGGCAGTTGGATGGAACCGAGTTGAAAAACCACTGGAATGCCGATGTACTTAAGAAATAACATGTGTAAAGCCCTTTTGGGAAGAACGATCTATGTAATTGCATCTCACTATTAATGAAAAGCCTTAGAGCCACCCTTTGTTCCAAATTCAGCAAGTTTCTATTTTTTCTGTCTTCAAATAGTTTTTGAAAATTCGAGGTTTTCGTTCGGCGTTGTCCGGAGTATTGCATAATGATGCATTGTACTTCGGCAAGTCGTAAAACCTACCAAGATGAGGATAAAAGATAAAAGCCCGTAGTATTGCATAATGATGCCTTGTACTTCGAATGAATCTGTTCCTCTGGGAAAAGGGGCCATAGGCACATCCAAGACATAGCCTGAAAAATAGGAACTGATAAAGCCCCGGAGTATTGCATAGTGATGCCTTGTACTTTGGATGAATCGGTTCCGAGTGGTGATTGTATTTATGATGTATTGCCTAATGAAGCATTGTACTTCGGATAGATCACCGCCCCGGCATTGTGTTTCAGATAGTCGTTCCCCCGTATGAATTAGAAAGGATCAAAAGAGTATTGCTTCTAAAGCCCTTGGCTTCTGAGCGAGAAATCAAGCCTTTCGAAAACAAAATAGAAGGAAAAGGAAAATGAGGGGAAACTATAAAGCCTGAAATGTTATAAAAAATTGCCAAGGTAAAATCCTCGGCTGTACCATAATAGTCGAAGCAATCACCTCAGAAACCTGAAGAACTCATCTTCAGATTTCCAAGGGGACAAAAGGCACTCAGCTAGCCAGTTCCAGGCCGAGCCGAAGCTTAGCACTTTGAAAAATTGTCAAAAGATGAAAATTGGAGTAGAAAGAGCATGGCCAAAAAGGAATGAAAGCAAAATGTGCACTCTTAGCAAATTAAAAGTCCTCAGCTAAAAATTATCTTCAAGCCGAGATTCTACACTTAGAAAAATTTTGAAAATTTGAAGGAAAGCAATTAAGTACAGAAATAAACAGGCAGTAAAAGAATAAAGCTGAGAAATACTTCAAATTCATAAAATGAGGAATTCAAGTTGTCAAAGTACAAAAAAGGAGTTTTTGTACATGTGGCAAGCTGGAACAAAAAGGAGTTTTTGTACATGTGGCAAGCCGCCCACAAGCAGAAACACAGCTGCCGAATTTAGTACAAACTACTCAAACAAAAAGTAATAAAGAGTTTTTGTACATTTGGCAAGCTGGAACAAAAGGCAAAAAGCAGATGCGGCGTTGAAGCAATTAGGAGCATGTAGACCCGCAAGATTTTGCAGACAACTGCCCGAGTTCCTATGCATCGGCATTAGCCGAATCTACATCAAGGGCCTTGGAGGTTTCAGCAACTGAAGATGAGGCAGGCTTTACTTGATCTTTTTCTTTTGGAGAAGCCCCTTCTCCTTCATCTTCATCCTCCTCGGCATCTTTCTTAGCAAGTCTCTCAAGGCAGGAAATCTCAGCCTGATGCGCAGTTAGCATGTTTGGATGGTTGTGGTCCATTGACCATTCTTCAATCGAGTCCCAATCAATGGTCTGGTCAGCGTGAAAGGCCAAACACCGAGCAACTTTGAAGCCGTTCTCAAACCCCTCGTCATATTGCTCTTGGGTATAGATACGGACCTTCAGCAAGTCCTCGGCAACTTTCAAATCTGACCTTGCTTGTGCAGCTGCATCTTTTTTAGTTTCGAGCTGATTTAAACCTCAAATAAATTGAAGTCTTTTGCCTTCATCTAATCACGGAGACTCTGAACCTCAGCCCTTAGATCATCTTGCTTCTCTTGGGCCTTTTTCTCAGCAAGGGCAGCTTTGTCCTTTAGCTCTTTCACCTCATGTTGCCGAACGTCGACCTCCTGCTTCAACTTCTCAGCGATTCGAGCCTTGAAGCTTGGAATATCATCTGCCCCATATTCTTTCATTTAGGCCTCACCTTCTTCGAGTTGGGGGAAGATAGAATGATCAATCTCATGGAAAAATTTGCGGAAGCTCGCCGCCATTTCGTTCATATGAGATTGACTCGCCGAGGCTGCATCTTCTGCCTTCTGGCATTTTTTTTCAGCCAGCTGAGCTCAACGCTAACCTCATCAACTTTTGTTTTCAGCTCTTCATTCAGACCCACGGCCACAACGTGGCTCTGAACGGCCTACAAGTTAGGAAAACAAGTTAGCCGAGGAAATGGACTTAGAGAAATTGAGCAAAATATGTGATTAAAAAGCAAATTAGAAAAAAAAAAGCAAGCTAAAATGCTTAAACAAGAAATTTTAAGTGTGGTTACCTGCATCAAGAGCTTTGATGTCTCAACAAAAGGGTCAGGCACCCTTGCAAAAGGTTCGGACGCTCCAGCAGCGGCCCGAAGAGACCAAACTCTAGCCCTCTTTGGTTCTGAAAGGCTAGACAAATTGCTGAAGAAATCAACGGCAGAGTTTCGGCTGGATATCAGGTTGTCCCGAACAGCATCTGGGACATCAACAAGAGGGGTGGTCTCAAACCCCATCTCACCGGACTGGAAGGTCCGGAAAGTGTTCCTTGCCAAATGTACATCTTGAAAGATGGGGATCTTGACTCTTTCATCAGCCTCCTTAAAGTCTTCTGGCTTCCCCTCCAGAATCATTAAATCATCCTCTTCGGTGGGCTGCGAGAAGAGGGCATCAGTTTCCTTTTGAACTTCCTAAGCAAATGAGTCAAAGACATGCAGAGGAAGTGGAGAAGTTCTCTGGTTTGGGGGAGTTTGATGTTCATCCTCCTCCTGGTTTTCAAGAGGAGGGGGAGTTTTCTCTTCGGCAGCCTCGTCCTGGTCCCCATCCAGCCGAGGTCTTTTTGGAGAAGGCTCGTCTACCGGGAATTATCCCGGATTCCAAATGGCTCACCTTCTAGTTCTGGTCATTTCTTCGTCCGAAGGAGATGAGGGTATTTGGTTAGTTTCTGCTTTATCTCCCTCTTCTTCGTCAGACTGCAGAAGAAGAGACAAGGGGGGTAAGAGAACGATGTCAGTAAAAAAAAAAAAAAGAGAACACTATGAGCCGAAGCTTAATACTTAGACAAGTTTCACAAGTTGAAAGGTCTGGGTAGACGGAATAAGGCAGCCGAAGTTCGATACATAGGAAAGTTTTGAAGAATTATTTCACAAATTGAAAGTTCAAATGAAATTCTAAGTCAAAGCTGAAAAGTTCAAATGCATTTTAAGAGCTTACCGAATTCCTTAGCAGCTCCTCTTCTGAAGCAGTGAGCACGTTCGGCCCAGCAACAGGTGTTGACTGCTCAGCGTTCTGCTCGGAGTTAACAGCAAAGACTCCGGCCTTAACTGCAGCTGCAGCGGCAACAATTTGTTCTTCGGGGTCCAATAGAAAGAATGGGTCCATCTTCAAGTACCACGACTTCTATTCGGAATATTCAGCTTGTTTAACAATTTCCAGCTGAGAAGGGTGTAGCGCGGGACCCCTAGCAGATGGGGGAGTGATCGCATGGTCGCGCCTCATCACTTTCCGAGCTGCAATAATTCCGAGCCGATAGTACTCTAAGCTGCAGTTTCCTTCGTGCAGCACTGAAAAACCATAAAGAAAACAAAGGGTTATTCTGCACGAAGAAGTAAGGCATCAAAAGAAGAAAAATAAGCTAAGTAAAGACTCTCAGCCCTAGCCGAGGATCTCACCATCTTGAAACTATCGGCTAAGGCCGACAGCTGCCAGTATCTTCTCTTTGAAGATATAATGATAGCAAGGGAGCCAGGTCTCCGACACATAGACTGTTTGACCAGCACCCCTTGCATTCAACACTTTCTTGAAGAGTTTCAGCAACTCCTCCTCTTCAGCAGAAAATTCATCAAGGCCGAGGGTGCAGCGCTCATTTTCGGATCAGGCATTCTCAAATGCCTTGGCCCTCCGTAATAGTTCAGATGGTCCTCCTCGGAAAGAGCCCGAACCCAAATCCATTGACCTCTCCAGTCCTTGTCCGAAGTATCGTTTGGCCAAGTGGTCAAATACCCTCTTCGGGTCTCTATCCTCCACCATCCAGGTCCATGGTGCTTATTGGATTGCTGGTCCGGCACCAGTTTATACAATTTTCTGAAGACCTGGATGCTTGGTTGGAATCCATAGAAGATACTGACCCACAAAAATGTCATGACTCTTCGGATGCTTACCGGGGTTAATTGGCACAGAGAAATATTGTACCCATTCAGCACCTGGATTAAAAAAGGGTGGAGAGGAAAACTAAGGCCGAATTGCAGCTGTCTGGTATACACGTCAAGGTAATTAGGTGAAGGCTTGTGAATTATGTCTTCGGCTACGGGCATTTGACACTAATACCCGTCTTCCTCCATTATGCCATAAAAATCTCTATTTTCTCGACAAAGTGATGGAGGGCATCCCCTTTGACCCACTAGTCATAGGGGGCAGCAGTCATTAACCCGCAATTTTCGAGTGGATTCTGCCATTCCTCGGCGCCTTCAGGCAAGCGCCGAGGCCCATGCCTAGAGCCGCTGGCTGAGGTTGTGGCCTCTTCCCAACCACGGTACGACACCGAAGTCAGGGGAATTACAGCAATAGGGGGCTTTTGAGAGGGAACCCTACTTTCTCTTCTTGGAAGCGGAGAGTTATGGCTGTGGCTGAGAGAGGGCATTCGCTTTAAAGGTTGACTGCGCCGTGCACCCAGCTCAGTCATCTCGAAATCTTCCTCGTCACCCAAAGGTCTCTCTCTTGAAATTTGACCTCTAACCATTTTTTGCGAAAAAGTGGAA